TAGATTACATATTTCTTTTAAATAATTTTCTATAATTTGTCTTTTGATTTTTACATCTGGTAATTTTGTTTTACATGGACTGATTCCTGGTTCAAACAAATTTATAAGTAAATTTTTGCAAAATCGTGTCTGTCCTCTATCATTTAGTGAATTTATAATAAAGGAAAAAACTGTTTCTTCATCTGGACTTTCGTCACTTTGGGTTTTGCTCATTTTTTTGTTTGAATACTGTCAGTATATATTTGTTAATATGTCTGATTGGTTGATTCCAATTGTATAGATGTACTGGTTTGTGTTTATATTTCTTTTTTATTCTGTTTTTTCCTTTTTTCGATGAAATTGATGTTGTTACTGAATCGGAAAAATATACTGGATCCTGGATTGGGTAAGTTTTTTTTATTGTATCTTCTTTTTTGTATAGTTCATCTAGACTACTGACTTCTGATTCGGAGAATGCATTTCTGTGTTTTGAAAATCTTTTTCGTGTTTTATGTCTTTGTTTACTTATAATTGTTATTTTTAGTGTTTGTCTTTTTGTGTGAATATATTCAACTTTTTGTGTATGTGGGGTTATTACAAGATCGTAATTTTGGTTTTCTATTTCACAGTTCTGTATTACGATTGTCTGTTTATTTCCTAGGTATTTCAATGACATAAGGTTTAGGATGATGGGTGCAAAATTGTTTTTAGTGGTTTTTATTTCCTAGACTGTTAGTCCTTCCGATTTTTTGGTTAGCTTAACCTGGGTCTTTTTAGTCAGGGTTGCAGAGAAAAGTATATCAATTCCGAAGAATGATTTTAATTTCTCATGGCTAGTATAAGCTAAGGTGTTAACTTGCTTAATCTTACTTAGGGGTAGTGATTGTGTTCAAGGGTTGGAGAATAGTAAATCGATCCACAAGTTTCAGGTATAATTAGAACGCGAGTAGTTCGTTAGATACTATTTTAAACTTACTAAGTTTAAGATTTATCCTGGGTCGTATAAGAGGAGGGGTCAAGTGAAGAATGAATAACCGAAGTTCTTCACTGTTTAGCTTAATTTGAATGGTTAGTATTTTAAAAATTTCTATTAGTCCTGGGTCTATTGAAAAGATTGGGTAGTGAATCGACGTTTGAGGTCGTTAGACACTTGATAAGTGTGTGGGGAGAACAAAATTGTTCTTTTTGATCCAAGGATAAGCCTTGATGATCAGAATTAAAAGTATAAAATAGAAAATTAAATGAGATCTAAGGAAGGCCTTGATGACCTGATTTTAAGATTGAATAAAGTTAAGTTTAAGTGATTTAAGATTTAAGATAAACTTTTGTGAAAAATCTAAAATTAATGAAGTCTTAGTGTTGATGAAATTAATTTATTTATGATTGCTCTTATGTTTTAGGTGATGAAGCTGAAACACAGGATGATTTTATATTTACTAACAATTTATTGTCATGCTACTATTTTTTGTTTTTCTTTTCAATAAATATATTTTTTTCAAATATATTTTATAATGTACTGCAGAAGAAACGACTTGAGATGTTTTTATCAATCGTTATTGAACAATAATAAATTGATTTAGCGCCTGTAATTTTCATTGTAGGTTTTCTTCAAGGAATTTGTGTTTGCAAATGAAAATCTAAATTCATTGCTAATAAGATTCTAAATAAAAAAGTTTGTGTTGGCTTTTGCCGTACGACCATGAAACTAAATGGTAAGTTTCTATGTAGTCGTATGTCGTCTCTTGTCCGAGGTCTTTTTCCAATACCGGGAAGTTCTCGTTTTGTACGGAATAGCGGCTCTGATCTATTGAGTCGTAGAGACCATTCAATTAAATTATTGTCGTGTAACATTTTGAAAATGTGTTGTCTGTTTTGCAATCTATTTTTGGTTAATTCTAAGCTAATTTGTTTTTTAAGGTCTTGTTTCGAGGTTTATGGTCGCACCAGATGAGTTAGGTTTGGGGTTCTAACTCATAGAGTAATTTCGGATAGGGTACACCGTCTGCTCGTCACGCTATCTTATTTTCGGCCGGATAGATTCGTGCAAATTCTTTGTCTAATAACGATCCTAATCTTACTCTTATATCTACTAGTCTCAGGTTGTTTAACTAGTCTCTGCTAGGCTCAATAGATCTAGAGTATACTGGTTTTTTGCGGCTGTTGAATATCTCGAGGAGAGGCAATTAATTTCTTTGTTAAATTCAAATCTCTCTGGTGCTGAAATTACAAGTAATTTCAGCACTTACAAATAAGTGGGTTGTTAGTTGGATGGGTTGTGATTGGTTTATATAAAACATTTTACAGTGGTAAAATATCTAATTTATAAATAATAAAATGTAGTCTAGATCAGGTTCCATTTTTGACTCCTTCACAATCATAAAATTTTGCCTGGCAACGATCTCTGTAAACTTTTATGCTTCGTTGATTACTGAAAAAAAATTATTAGATTAATTTGAATTCTCTTTTTCAATTTACAAAGTCTGTCATCAAGCTAATAAAATTACTGTCAAACTCTTATAACGTACTCTGTACATATTCTGTCCCTGAAGGAACTGTGACTGACTTGCTAGCTAATATAAAAATACAGTAAGTGAATACCTCCAAAAACAAAGAGAGGCGAAATCAGATGGAAAGAATTAAGGATTATTAGTCTCTTTGAGTTGAGAGCAATTTCAAACATGTTAAAAGTACAGACCGTTTTTCTTATTTGGCCCAAATAACTCGAATCTGATTTGATAATCATATGATTAACCAACATTCAGTAATCGAATTTCTCCTTTTATTGTTATAATAACATATCTATTGTAAATTTGGACCAAAATTTTCTGGAGACACACATTCTTCCGCCGGTAGCCAAGCTAATGAAAATAAATATTTCTCGCCAGAGAGGTCAATATACTTGATGGATTTCGGCCGCAGTTGATGAGATGAGTTTGAAGTTGAAGTTGACGATTGTGCAGATGTTGTTGCTCTTAATTCTGTATTTGCTGTAGTTTGTTGTTGAGGCAGAGACACCACTGCTAATTTAATTTCTCTCAAATCACAGTTTAGAAGCAGTGTGTTCTCATTCACAAACACAAATGTCTTGAAAACTACCGGTAAAATTGATCTGATATTAAGTAGAACAGTTTGTTGTCGGATGAGACTGCGATACAAAGTCACATTGTTGATTTCCCACTCCTAGGGTTCTTCTTTTCTCCCATCATACACTACCACAGCCACAATCTCGCCGACAGAACACAAACTCCAATATACATCTTCTCCATTGAGGAGTCCTTCAGTGTCGAGTAGTTTTCTATCCTTGATCATTTCATTGTCCGTTATGTCCAGAAGTGCCACTCTGTTTATTTTGCTTTCCCTATTTGCAATCACATCATAGAGACAGTTATTGCTGTCTAGTGCAATATCCCACAAATATTCTTTATTTGATTCTTTCAACTTCATCTGCTTTCTCTTTTCAAACTTCCCATTTGGCACGCTTGGACTAAACACTGTTATTTCACAGGAAAAGTGCAAAATAATATTTTCTTTTGTAGCAGTGTTGCCCTCGTTATAAATTCAATCTTCTCATCTCCAATCGCACTCTGCGTAACTCGCACCAATTCTCTCTTTTGTCGTTTCTTCATCCACTTGATTAAATTGAACTATCCTGTCATTCGCTAACTCTATTTTTGGCGGTTTGATTTGTGCAAAAAATTGTCTGGATAAATAATTTTTCCCACGCACAAGGATTCGGTCGCTTTCTCTATAACTCGGAACAAAACTGAATGTTTGTGTCAGTTATCTTATCTTTTTTCTAATTGATCAATCCCTATAACTTGTTGGTCCAGAATCAAAGTAACTCATATATCTGAATAAATAAGAGCAGCAGGAAAATGAAGATGAAGACAAGTTGGATAACGTTGAAAAGGCGAATGAGATGCGTTTGCCTTGAAATCATTTTTGAACAATTTCAAATGTTTTATCCAGGCAGCTTATTTCAATTTTATAGGGTGAATCATTTGTTGACAATCAATTAACTGAACAACCATTTTTTCTCAAAAATGTGATATCACTTTCATGCGCTTGTGCTTATTTTGTTTTGAATTATTAATCAAAAGAAATAATTTTGTTCGATAAACACTGATGACGGGGACCGATCGTTTAGCACACCAATCTCTTAGCATAAAAAGTGGAAAATGAGTCTTTTAGCAGACCAACGTAATAAGAAGATGAATGATTGATTGACAGACTCAAAAAGACGCTCAGTCTGGAGCCAAGTTTCCCCAATTAAGTCAATTATCTCATGATTTGTCAACAAAACTATCAGCTTCAAAAACACAACAGTCCAAATTTGCGGCAAAACAAAGAGTTAGACGCACAATAACACTCGTGTTGAATTGAAACCAAACGGAGCAAGCGGTCGTTAATCGCCAATGCTGCGTTTGAAGTTAGCTATCACACTTTATAATTGTTCTGAGTCTGCTAAAAAAACTGTTCTGCTCAAAAACCGGTCTGCTAAAATCCCTACCACCACTGATGGCGCACGCGTATTTACTCGCCAAACCCCTTCTGGCAATTTTAACCACTGCTGAGCGATGCAAAGCAAGTTTTTGCTACACGTACCATTCAACTTCCAAAACAAATTCCATTGTACTCGATTTTTTGTGGCTGTTAAGCATTTATTTCTAATGACACTTTTGAGTCCTTCTCAATCATAAGAGCATTTAGAAATTCTGACCATTTCTAGAACCTTTTAAGTTCTACGCTTTTAATAGCCATAGATTCTCTCCAAAGTATAAACGCACTTAGAAATCCTTACCATTTCTAAAATCGATTTGAGCTTTTTGTTAAAGTTTAAGTTTAAAACTTGCCAAATTTTAAGCTTTTTGCCAAGCTTAATTTTACTGAACTTGGGAAAAAGCGAGTAAATAATTCATTTGAGTGTGATTAAAATGTTGCTTGGCAACGATCTCTGTAAACTTTTATGCTTCGTTGATTAGTGAAAAAAAAATGTTATTAGAATAATTTGAATTCTCTTTTTTAATTTACAAAGTCTGTCATCAAGCTAATAAAACTACAGTCAAACTCTTATAACATAATCTGTACATATTCTGTCCCTGAAGGAACTGTGACTGACTTGCTAGCTAATCTAAAAAAAAAACAGTAAATGAATAGCTCCGAAAATAAAGAGAGGCGAAATCAGATGAAAAGGATTAAGGATTAATAGTCTCTTTGATTTGAGAGCAATTTCAAACAGGTTAAAAGCACAAACATATTTTCTTATTTAGCTCAAATATCTCGAAACTGATTTGATAATCATATGATAAACCAACATTCAGTTATCGAAATTCTCCTTTGATTGTTATATAACAACATTGTTATTGTAAATTATGATCAAATAATAGAAAAAACTCAATGTGTCTTGTACTCTAAATGTAGAAGCTTTGGCTTTCCGTCTAGTTTAGTAGATGCGAATAGTGTTGAGCTATCAATGGAACACCATATTACTGTATCATAAACTTTACCTTTTTCTTCGATTGGGTCAATTCTTTTCTTCTCTCCTTCAGCCACCTCCGACATATCTTTTTCAAAATTCATTTTGTAAACAAAAGAGTGTAGGCTATTTGAAGCAAACAAGTAGCCTTCTGCAGTTTCTGGAGACACGCATTCTCCCGACGGTAGCCAAACTAATGGAATTAAACAATCCATGCCAAAGAGGTCAATATACTTGATGGATTTCGGCCGTAGTTGATGAGATGAGTTTGAAGTTGAAGTTGACGATTGTGCAGATGTTTTTGCTCTTAATTCTGTATTTGCTGTAGTTTGTTGTTGAGGCAGAGACACCACTGCTATTTTACTTTCACTCAAAGCACAGTTTAGAAGCAGTGTGTTCTCATTCACAAACACAAATGTCTTGAAAACTACCGGTAAAATTGATCTGATATTAAGTAGAACAGTTTGTTGTCGGATGAGACTGCGATACAAAGTCACATTGTTGATTTCCCACTCCTCGGGTTCTTCTTTTCTCCCATCATACACTACCACAGCCACAATCTCGCCGACAGAACACAAACTCCAATGTACACGTTGTCCATTGAGGAGTCCTTCAGTGTCGAGTAGTTCGTTTCTCTCCTTGATCATTTCATTGTCCGTTATGTCCAGAAGTGCCACTCTGCTCATTTGGCGTTTCCTATTCTTAATCACACCATAGAGACAGTTATTGCTGTCTAGTGCAATATCCCACAAATATTCTTTATTTGATTCTTTCAACTTCATCTGCTTTTTCTTTTCAAACTTCCCATTTGGCACGCTTGGACTAAACACTGTTATTTCACCGGAATGGTGAAAAATAATCACTTCTTTTGTAGCACTGTTGTACACAGCCCTCAATATATAACCAAACTTCTCATCTCCAATCGCACTCTGTGTAACTCGTACCAACTCTCTCTTTTGTCCTCTCTTCGAAGCCACTTTTTCATTCCCTTGAACTGGACTAACCTGTCCATCGCTACCTCCTCCAACTGCGCCCTCTGAACTATCCTCTGAGACTGGACTCTTGCCTCTGCTGAAGTCTCCGCCGTCAAGCGTCGAGGAACTACAAATCGATAATCTATCGATATCGTAGTCAACAGCATCCCCAAATATCCCTCTTTGTTGTCTTTCAAGTTCTTCCAACTCATTCAAAATATTTTCTTTGAACTTGCGCACATCCGTGATGTGATTTTGAACAAAACTGCGGACCTTGCTTGATTTCTGCTCAAGTTGGTTTGCAGTGGTCGCTTTCAAAACATCCTTTTGCATATTTTCGGCCTCCTGTGCTTGTCGAACTATCGCTGTCCAATCTTCTAAAATCCGAGCCAATTTTTGACAGTCTTTCCTGTTTTCAACAACTCTCGTCTGAATCTCTTTCTGCGGCTGAATATTGACTTTGATGTGCCCGACATCATGTTGTTTCCGATTGTCATCTTCGTCGTGTTCGGTCAGCCAGCACTTGTCACATAGCTCCACTTTACAGATGTGGCAATAGTAGCGAATAGTTGAAGTTGGGTGTTTTTCACAGTAAACGATTGAGGCGAATTCATAATGCGACCGGATCGAAGAAGCCACTGTTGAAGCTGTGTTCGGCCTTTCTAAAAGAGAAATAAATTCTAAGAGACTGAGATTATTCAAACTTTTGCCGACTTTCTTAAGGTCAGTCATATCAAAGTTTGTAAGCTCTTGATCGGTACTAAATTGGCGTTTATGAGAGCTTTTCTCAACTTTATGACCAAATTCCCATGTATCTGGAGTGCGCTCCTGGTTTCATCAATAGTTCAAATTCTGAAGGCATTCTTTTCGCTATAGCAATAAATGTTTGCCGAATTCTGATAATACATATGATTCATATGGGTTAGTTCTTTTTTTTGCGTTTTTTTTGCAATTGATCAAACTTTACTGCATGTTGAGATAAAAAAAAGCTAATGCAGTCTCGATTTAAAATAACACAAAACAAAAAAGAATAAAACTCAAAGTACAAACTCGTTTCTCGTACAATGGGTTAACTTTTAACAAAAAAGGAATAAGAAAAAAATGCTTTTCATGATTTATTTTAGATCGAAACTTGATTCCAAAAGTGGTTACAGGAATTGAGTTCCAGAACTAACGCAATTTTAAGAAAATCGGGCTAATTTTTTTTTTCTATGTAGATTTCTTTGAAAACTAATGATTAGTAGTGTTTAACAAATTCCAGTTTTTTTCTTTCAATTAGGATCTAATATCAGGAATTGGTCAGCTGGAATTAGCTGGCCTAGACATAGTGTTTGAGGCTCCCGCTGTCCTAGAGAATTGAAATTCAAGAAACTCATAAAAAATGTCAAAAAATTGTTCCCTTCCCATCACACTCCCCTCACACAGCACCGCCTTGGTACCAAGGGTCCCAATTTAATTGAAATTTTAATTCTCCTTTTAATTTTTTAAGCTTTAGACTATTAATCATTTCTATTCTGAACAAGCGGTTTCATTGTTGCTTTTTGTTTCGACTTTCGAATATTTGTGCTCGGGGTAGGTTTTTTTTTCTTCAGACAAATTTCGGCTTTTTAACTAGCCATTTTTGACGGAATTTTTTATACCATTCGAAAGCTATTGTTGTCGTGAGCCTAAATTGGAAAAGATATTTCACCTGTGATCATTTTTCGTAAAGTTATGAGGGTTTAAAGATTGGCATTTTGGCCATTTTGACCAATTTGGGACAATTAACGCGCGATATAATTCGCGCTATAAACGCGTAAGCGGAGAGTTAATCCGTTTTAGAAGTCGTTTTAAATTGGTTGAAAGAGGCTTATTTGACATAATTGATTTGTTACAAGGAGCAAAATCTATTCTTTTGTACTTTATATGCCGTGTGGGGGGATTGTTTTTATTTAAAAAAATTCAAATTTGAAAAAAAAATTTTTTTTTTCATTTTGTTTTATTTCATTTATTTTTTTATGCTACTACTGCTCCATAAACCTTAAAAGGCAGTCGGAACATTCAGGGCTTCGCCCAGATACGAGCAGTCTTGTATAGTTTTGAACACATACAGCAACTATACTTTGATAAGTTTTTTGTAGAGTAAGCGTAGGGTAAGTGTAATGTAATGGAATAATACCAAAAGACTGACTCTTCATTGAAACTTGGCAAACAAGTTTAAGGGGTATAAAATTTTTCTCACCAAATGATCGATAAATTATAACATGTAGAAGTTTATTGTTCCGACTTTCGATACGATAGTAACGGAATATTTGTGCTCGGGGTGGGTTTTTTTTCTTCAGACAAGTTTCAACGTTTTAACTAGCCATTTTTGACCAAATTTTTAAATATCATTCGAAAGGTATTGTTGTCTTGAGCTCAAATTTGAAAAATTATTTTACCTGTGATCATTTTTCGTAAAGTTACGGTGGTTTAAAGACTGCCATTTTGGCGAACTTGGGACAATTGACGCGCGATATATTTCCCGCAATTAACGCGTAAGCGGAGAGTTAATCCTTCTTAGAAATCGTTCCAAGTTAGTTAAAAGAAGCTTATTTGCCTCAATTGGTTTGTTACAAGGAACGAAATTTATCCTTTTGTACTTTATATGGCGTGTGGGGGATTATTTCAAAAACAATTCAAATTTTAGAAAAAAAAATTCATTTTGTTTTATTTCATTGAATTTTTTAATGTTATTACTGCTCCATAACCCTTAAAAGGCAGTCGGAACATTCAGGGCTTCGCTCTGATACGAGCAGTCTTGTTGTCGTTTTGCTCACCCTTGATGTGAAACTACTTTGGACTAGAGTGAGTTTTTTTAAAGCCAGTCAAGTAACAGAAACAAACTTCATGATTCGTTTATCTGATTTTTTTTAATTTTGATTTGGCTGCCAAAAAGACGCTTTTCAATGTCGAAAAAGTCTGGTATCAATATTAATGTTTCAGATTCTTTTTCAACGAATTTTCCGTATGTCATTCATTTAAAAGTTTTCAAAAGAAATTTTTTGCGCTATATGTAGGCCTTTTTTAACCGCCCACACTAGAGTTTCACGGATAATAAGCGATTGTCATGGATTATATCGGCAAGAAACGTAACCCATCTAATCACTTTTCATGACCAATCTAATCATTAAAATGAAGTTTTAGGGGACTATAAGGTGTTATTTGCAACATCAAAAAATTCATTATAATCCATTAAAATCGATTATTTTGCTTTCAATCGATCGCTTGTTTTTTCATAAAATCCCTGAAAATCGATAATATTTTGCAAATGGGAAGTGCTTGATCTTTTTTTTGCCGCTTTCACCGACGGTCGACATCAGGCCCCTTTATTTTCGGGCCCCTTTATTTTCAGGCCCCTCGCCGATTGGGAGTGTAAGAGTGTGCATGGGGGAAGGGTGTGGTAGCAGTTAGAAGTGTATGTGTGTGTATGTGTAGCTGTGTGAACTACTTGCACTTTCAGCACCAGGACAATTTGAATAATTCTTCGAGTACAGTTATTCTCATTCTGGAGAAAACTCGAGAACTAATACGCAAAAACCAGTAAACACTAGATCTATTGAGACTAGGAGATATAAGACTAAGATTAAGATTGGTATTAGACTAAGAAGTTGCACGAATCTATCCGGCCGAAAATAAAATAGCGTGACAAGCAGACGGTTTATCTCTTCTGAAATTACTCTATGAGTATAACCAAAATGTCATAACTCATCTGGTGCGAGCATAAGTGTTGAAAAAGACCTTAACTAACATAGAATTAGAAAATTAAAAGAAGAATTAGACAATTGCAAAATTGTACAAGTGTTAGATGGAATGGAGAATTTAACAGAGATGTCTCTAATGCTCAAAAAATCTAGCGCCAATATTCCGAACAAAATGAGAATTACCAGGTATTGCGAGAAGATCAAGAACAAGGCGCGAACAAGGAACAAGGCGCGAACAATGAACAAAACTTCACAGCGGGCCAACTTGCACCAAACAACAATTCAAAACTACTAACATAAAAACTTGATTATACTTGACAAAAAAATGAAAGTAAACTTTTTGTCTGAAGTTTTTTTATAACGTCCTCGTTTTTGAAGTGATTTCCCTAGTTGAACCAGTTTGCGGTAAATGCACACCCACCCTTCCCTTTTTTTTCGTCATAATTGATTGTTGGTTTTTTGATGCAATTTGGAGTTTTTCGACACTGCGCGATCAGAAAAGGTGTAATTTATACTACAGTTGTTCTATTTTGTTGCTAATTTAAATTTTAATTTTTAAATTGATGGTTTTTAACTCAAGAGTTGCAGAACAGTTCCATCATTTGTTTGATTGACTTTGTGAGACTTTAGAGTTTTTTTAAAAAATACACAAAACTGTTCAGCGTCAAAAGTATCTGTAGAGCTAGTGAGTATTTCTTACCAAGTGTAGTTTATGAAGGATTTTTTCCCATTTTCTGTGCTTTTTAACCATTTTTGGTAAAAGTGGTTTCTAGATAAACGAAATATAGGTTAAAATAATCTTTACAAAATATTTCTACTAACCAATCATATTCAATCTCTGACATTGACACTTATTCGTAAGTGGTGAAACTACTTGTACTTTCAGCACCAGAACAACTTGAATAAATCTTCGAGTACAGTTATTCTCATTCTGGAGAAAACTCAAGAACTAATACGCAAAAACCAGTAAACACTAGATCTATTGAGACTAGGAGATATAAGAGTAAGATTAGGATTGGTATTAGACTAAGAAGTTGCACGAATCTATCCGGCCGAAAATAAAATAGCGTGACAAACAGACGGTTTATTTCTTCTGAAATTACTCTATGAGTATAACCAAAATGTCATAACTCATCGGGTGCGACCATAAGTGTTGAAAAAGACCTTGACTAACATAGAATTAGAAAATTAAAAGAAGAATTAGACAACTGCAAAATTGTACAAGTGTTAGATGGAATGGAGAATTTAACAGAGATGTCTCTAATACTCAATAAATCTACGCCAATATTCCGAACAATATGAGAATTACCAGGTATTGCGAGAAGATCAAGAACAAGGCGCGAACAAGGAACAGACCAATTCACCATATGCTAGTAAAACGGAGACCGGCGAAGAAGTTTTTAAATTTAGAATCCTTTAGGCACTAAATTTAAATTTTCATTTATTGACATAAAAACAATCTACAGATTAAGCCTTCAACTGAAATGGTGCTAAAATATTATTTAAACAATAACGACTGAAAAAAAGAGCACAAATCGTTCCCCCGAAAATCGGCAGTAAATTAAAACTTCTGAATAAAAATACTTTTTGAATAGAAAATATAAAAATTAGTTAGTATAAAGAATTATTGCTAGTTTCCTTAGTTTGAACACATCATCTTTTCTTCATATAAGCTTCATAATCTAAAACATAACAGCATCAATTAAGAAACTAATATCATTCAAATCCTAAATTAAATCTTCTCTAAACTTGAACTTTTTAATAAATTTTACCAAGGCTTATCCTTGTTTTCTCTTAAATTACCTTTTTTTAAAAAACAGATCATCAAGGCTTTCCTTGTTTCTTTAATTTCAAATAAATCAAAATAATTTCCCTAAATTCTGATCATCAAGGCCTCCCTTGGATCAAGCAGAACAATTTTGTTCTCACAACTTTATTAT